AAAAATACACTCCGTAAACTTTTTTTTTGTGCAAAAAAGATAAAAATTATCAAAAAACAAAACTAAAATGACTCGAATTGCTTATTTTATTATTTTTTTTATATTAATTTTAAAGTTTATATAAAGTATAACCTACCGATACTGTGCATTTGCTGGGCCAATCATAAACAAAAAGTTATGAATTATTGAAAAAATATTAAAAAGTATTTTCCAAAATACCACCTACAGTTATCGAATATCTTTAAAATAGTGTTAATATTAAAACACATCCAATTTACAACAAAAATGCTCATAATGCTTAAATTGCCCAAAGTTGTTATTTTCGAGATACCCGTAGGTTAAAATTCACTTATCGCGTATTTTAAGAAATTTTCGCCCTTTTGAGATGTTTACTCAAATTGCATATCTTTTTAAAATATTTTTTTTTATTTTTATTTTGCAGCTTAGGTAAAGAAATACCTATTGAAGCTGTGTATTTGCTGGGCAAATCATAAACAAAAAAGTTTTGAAATATTGAAAACATAAGTATTTTCTAAAATACTACCGATAGTTATCGAATATCTTTGAAATAGTGTTAATATTATAACACATTAAATTTACATCATAAAAGCTCCTGATGCTTAAATTGCCCATAGTTGTTATTTACGAGATACTCGTAGGTTAAAATTCACTTGTCGCATAATTTGAGCAATTTTCACTCTTTTGAGATGTTATTTGTAAGTGTTCAATCTTGAAAGTATTTTTAACAAAAATCCCAATTAATTTTCTTAAACTTTGCTCTTCACAGTTTTTCAATCAAACGCATGAGTTAAGATATAATTAATTATGAGTAAGAGACGGTATGGGAAAAGTGTATTTTTCTGTTTGGCCCCATAATTATATCTTAATTTATGCGTATTATTAAAAAACTGTGAACAGCAAAGTTTAAGGAAATTAATTGGGCTTTTTGCTCAAAATATTTTTAAGATTGAACACTCACGAATAACATCTCAAAAGAGCAAAAATTGCTCAAATTATGCGATAAGTGTATTTTAGCCTACGAGTATCTCGAAAATAACAACTTTGGGCAATTTAAGCTTCAGGTGCTTTGCTTTTTTGATGTAAATTTAATGTGTTTTAATATTAACACTATTTCAAAGATATTAGATAACTATCGGTAGTATTTTGGAAAGTACTTATTTTTTCAATAATTCATAACTTTTTCATTTATGATTTGCCCAGCAAATACACAGTGTCAGTATGTATTACTTTATGTTAACTACAAAATAAATATAAAAAAACAATAAAAAAAAAAAATTGCAATTTGAGTAAATTCAATTTTTTTTTTCATAATTTTGATATTTTTTTGGTAAAAAAATAAATATTTTTTGACAGTGTATATTTTTTCTTGGAAGGCACAATACTTGTCCGCAACTTCTTCAAAGACACCATCACGATCAAACAAATCGTTCACGAGATATATATTTTTCTCTTGATGCGTATCATTTTTGCATAAGCCCTTTTCAAGTGTTAGTCGTGTGCAAAACTAGGGATCCAAATATGTAAAATGACATGTTGGGCAATGACAAACAACTGTGCAAAGTTTCACCATAATCGTAAAAGGTCGATCCGAAACGATTTGCGAATCTGTGTGGAACTGCTTTACTAACACTATGAAGTATTTTTTTGGTATTGCATTATCATAATTTGGTATTGGAATGGTATTGTGGGAACATTTTTTTGGTATTATTTTTTGGTATTTTACCTATTATGTCAGGCTCATCCTATACCAATTTAAGGTATCGAGTTGTTCGTTCCTGCTCGGGAAGTAACTTCCAGAAAAAGATGAAGTAAATTTCGGGAGGAAGTTGGAAGAGATTTCTAGGAAAAGATCGACATAATTTTCGAGGCAACTCTGAAAAACATTTCAAAGGAAGCCTGAAGGATATCTGGGGAAGTCAGAATAATGTTTCAGGGGTCATATGAGTCTTTCATGAGTAGTCAGAATCAATGTCCGCTTACAGAGGAAACCAGTAGGACTTCTTGAGGAAACTGGAACATACTTCCGGGAAGGTTCGAACAAACTTCCGGGAACATTAGAAACAAAATCCGTTGAAAACTTCCAGGGAATGATCGAAAAATCATCCAGGGCAAGTTAGGAAAAAACTTCGGGAGATGAATTTAGATCTGAAACAACGATAAATTTAAAAACTTGGTCCAAATTCATATATCTCCGAGAATTCCCGGGAAGAGCTAGGAGAAATTGATGTAATGTCAGCCTAAATGCCCCTATTTCCCTAATATCCATTAGTACCGTCCCAGTCATCTAGATAACATTGAAAATTGCAGATTTTTAGCGATGCGCCCAATCTTAGATCCATAGGCCAACATTAGAGCCATTTCCCCTACGAGATATTTTCCGAATCCCGGCTATCCAAAAATTCTTCACTAATCTTTCAAAATGCTGCTTTAGACATCTCTCAGGCAAAACTTACATCTGGAGTTCTACACACATAATTTTTGATATGGTGAGATTCCAACAGCCGAGTAGTTCTGCAATTTATCTTGCAGAGATTCAGTAAAACAATTACTGAGACTCAGCAAACAGCTAACAAGCAGATATTTCATTTATTTATTTATTTGTCGTCAATCAAGAGTAGGCCAATTTGTTACAACGATAATTACATTTTATGATTTACTTCTAAACAATATTATTTCAAAAAAAAACTAGACTACACAGTATGTTATTTACTTGGTATTACTTTTACGTGTTCATAATTAGGGAACATAATTGAAGTATTGCTACAATTTGGTTTTTGTCGTTGTAAAGTCAATTGTTTCGCTACGCTTATGAACAATGAACATTTCTTTTGTACTGACTCTATTCGTTATTCGTACAGAGATATCAGCATAAGTAAATACCGAGGTCAACAGTATTTGGATATTTTACTGAGTTAGATTGAGTGTGTGTACAGTAATCGGAAACACGAAAGTGTTTTGTCAGTCCAGAAAAAATTAACGCCATTAGCGGTTGTGGTTAAAACATCAATTTTGTAGGCTAAAAATGTCTGGTATCCCGTTCCTTCGGAAGTGAGGTAAAGCAATTGGCCCCTTATCATGAATTGATAGGTTTAATTTAAAGACTCCAAATGGAGTCACCCCCTCGGCAGGGAAAAGGTAAAGTAGAATGTCGCAACATCTTATAATTTTTCAATAGCAATCCAAAAATTGCAGCGTTTCCTGAAAATTCATCAAATTAGACATCTGAGGATTTCTTTTACTATCTGGCTAAATGAAGAATGCTATTGAATTTGCCCTCAGGAAGAGTTTACAGATCTATGAACGAAAAAAAGTTGGGTTGGTTATCTTTTCCGACAAATGTTAGTTCAAGTTTCCGGATTTTCCCACAGATCACGTTATTTGAAAATTGATCACTCATGAACCAAGCAACGTAGAAAGAAACTGGTATAGTAAAATGATAAGGAAATTATCTCAGTAGACCTTAAAAAATATGATCTTAAGAACTATGTCTGTAAAAAAAAAATCAAGATGGTGGAAAATCGTAAAAAAAAACAGGAAACACAGTTTTTTTGATTAGTGAAAGTTTCCAAATAATTTTTTTGTTGCTTAACAATTTATTATCTCTTAATTTTGAAAATTGCAGAGTGGTTTCCCTTACGTTTGCTGAGGGCCCGGACAAATTTAAGCCCAACTTTTCTGATTTTCCCGAACTTCACATACTTTAAAAATCCACAACTCATCATCGTAGAAACAAACTTCTTTGGTGAAGATAAGGAAATTATCTCAGTAATCTGATCAATAATCTTCAAAAAAATTCCACAAAAATTTTCACGGTAGAGGAAAATCGCAGCAAAAAACATAAAAGAACATTTTTGATACCTTTTTCGTTACTTTTTCGGTCATAACTCATAAACGGTAAGCGACACCACTCATTAGCAAAAGATAATAAATGTTTAGGCAAGAAAAAAATATAAACGTTTTTTTTATTACTCAGAACATGTTTTAATTGTTCTTCTTTGCGATTTTCCTGCACCGTGAACATTATCGCTATAAACATTTTTAAGGTTATATTCTTTAATGGATAATTTATTTAACATTCCATTGAAAACTTTTTTTATATATTCAACGCTTGGTTCATGAGTTATGAATTTTCAAATGACGCGTTGTTCCAGAAACTCCGAAAATTTCAACTAAAACATTTCGGGAAAATTATCATTCTCGAATTTTTAGAATTATTTTATTCGTTCATATACCCATAACCTCTCCCTGTAGGAAAAGTTTCATAAAACTCTGATACCCTTCGACTAAAATCCGCCGATAAGTTAAAAAAAATCCCACCTTTCTAAGTTTGAAACCATACCAATGTCGTCGTTGTTGCCGACAATCACGCAACACTTCGTTCCCAGCTCTTAGAACTATTTCAATAAATTCTACTTCAAAACAAACCAGTCCACTTCGTGACCAGAATACCTTGTACCGATCAGAGCGGCACGCGGTAAACACGCCACGATCCAACCTAGTGTTGTTTATGATTTACCAATATAAAACATTTCGGTATTGCGTCTACCGGCGTCGGACGGCCAAACGCAGTCACTTTCAGTAAATCAAGTCAAGTCACGCACGCACATCCCTTTCTCCCGTCACAACTCTGAAAACAAACTTTTTCAGCAGTGTATGCTCCTCAGCGAATCAAAGGGGTCGCCACCACCGTCCGCTTCTTCAGTGAATTACATATTCTGAACCATCGCCATCGGATCGGAGAGTTATTAAAACACGATAATAAATCTTGATGTCAATGGAGGCGATCTCGGGGCAACGCTACCGGAATGCGCGCCATCGTCATCGGTTATTAATGGCGCTAATGATGGGAAACATTACCTATAGGACGTTGATACCGCGCACGTGGTGTTGGTGGCGGTGCATTTTGTATTCCAAGCGGAAGTAATAATAGAAAGATCCAAGAGGAAGAATCATAAAACAGTGGTTGAAGTTGTACTTACGTCTTGTTTTCAGCTTGGGATGCACCGGTTTCAGCACACGCCCTTTTCGGATTGAATCGAGCAGTTGCTCCCGGGGGCAAGATACTCGTTTCAGTGGTTGCGGTGCGAGCTTCCGCTCGGAGGCCTGCAAGGTAATTGATTGAGATTAGAAGCCGTTTTTGCCAAAAGAGATTTATTTAGTCTACTCAATATAGGCTAATTATAGGAAGCGAGCGCGGGGGCTGAAGTCTAAGCTCAATTAATAACTGTCAACTGAGAACACGGAAACCAATGTCACTCGATACCTTAAAGAATTGTACTCGAATTCTTCCAGATTGTGCTGTAGATAAGATAGCAATACGGAACAAACAGGTCCAATTTCTGGACTTTGACTTTGGCCATGACCGGTTTCAAAACACACAAATAGACCACCCGTAAGTTGCAAGGAAGCAAATAACTCGAAACCGTGAAATCTCGAATTGATCTGCACACTAATGATGGCGATAATAGCAATAAACAGACTATCGAAGTGCGGTCGCGGTGCAATGCCTAGAACACAAACAAACATCATCGGTGAAGATGACTGTAGTACTTACCTTGCGTAACGGTGGTCGAGATCGTATGAACTCGAGTATAACGGCGTGTGCGTCTTGCTTCACCGTCGGTGGTATGTCACCGTTTACCATCACCTTGCGAAGATTGTACTTTCTGAAAACGAGAACAAGAAGGGAAGATGAGTCCGATAGTCATCATCATCGATCATATGCTCACGACGACCAAAGCTGGTAAAAGGGTAATTGATGAACGAACAGTAGCAGCAACAGGTTCGTGCTGCGCTTCAAGTGGTTGATTAGGCCTAGGCCCCCCTGAGTAGACTTTTAGCAGATGGAGTGTGAACGATCGTAGAGCAAAGAAGTGCTAATAGGTAGGTTTGAGGGTTCGCGAGCAAATATATTTGGCCCCGAAACGTGACTACATGACGTGCAGCAGCAGCAGCAGCAGCAACAACCATAGCGCCACCGACTGTGCGGTGAAGATGGTCTGGTTGGAGGGAATGAATACCGTTCGTAAAATTATGAGCACCTATTTTTCGACTGACTGGTAGGTATTCTTCGGGAGTCTTACTGGTGCCCTATTGAACGACCAACATTGATTGATGATGAGAGTGCCAGTTCCGTGCGCGCGTGGATTTTCTAACCTAGGTCAGATGGCAATTTAGGGCAATTCTCAGAAAGGTAAAGGCATATGTGCCGGGTTGGGGTTGGATTTGGGTAACGAGATTGTGGGGGGAAAATAATGTGAATATACACAGTTAAAAGTCGTGCTCAAGTAGGACCAGTTACACGGATCACGAATGAGTGGATGGAAATAGTCTAATTAAGCGCAGGTTATTTGAAGGTTTACCGGTTTGGAATATCTTGGTATGAGTTGCAAACTTAAGGTGTTTATTAGACGCCTTTCAAGCTGAAATTAAATTGAGTGCCAATAACTAAAAGGGAAAAAAGCTAACTGCTTAAATTATTGAAATATATTTCGATTAGCTCGGTGAACACTCGCACAGATGATTATTAGACTGATGCAACATTTGAAATTTTCGCTCCACAGTACTCAAACGCTTTCAAATTGGGCCCTTATTAGCCTCCCAAAATTTGAACTCATTTAGTAAGAAACTGACTTGGCACAAACTATTTGAAGTTTATATGGGAATTACTATGGAGAAACCAAAATTCTGGTTCATATCGATCTCAATATTCACCAGTTCATTGTACTTTAGAAAATAATAACTGAGCTTTTTGATAATTTTCTCAGCTAAAACTTTGTTGAAGACCACTTTTCGATCAAATGTAAGGAACAAAAATTATTATTGATTCAAGTCACTGATGTCTAATGATTATGCTCAATCAACTGTTCAGCAGGCAACATTGGTGTGTATGGCGTGTAGAATAGAGGGCAAAAATCATGGCTACTATGTCACACTGCAGAATACAGTGTTGCCCGCAATACAGTTGCTTAATCTTGCCATAAGATTACCAATCTCCTAAACAATTAATAAATATTTAATTTGACGTTGGGTTGAAAAACGATTTTCTGCAAAGTTGTAGCTGATAAAAATTCCCATAAGAATAGAAATAGAATTTGTTAACAGTACAATATGTAAAAAGGCTAGAAGACAATGAACAAGAAGTTTTGTTTTCCCATAGTAATTTCCATATAAACTTAAAATGGATTGTGCCAACTCAGTTTCTTATCAAATGAGTATAAACTTTCGGAGGCTAATCAGAACCGATTTGAAACCGTTTGAACACTGTGGAGCAAAAATTTCAAATTTTGCATCAGTCTAATGATTATCTTGGGATTTAGTTTTGATGTGACCTCAGCAAAATTCTCGTTTGGGTTTCGAATCTTAAAATTGTGTACTGATAGCAAAGTTACCTATGAACAATTAGGGGCCCCAACTAGTGTAGTCAGCAAGGGTACGATATTTCCAAGCTGAAGGAGACAGGTTTCGATTCACGGGCCAGTCGAGGAAATGTTGCGGGTTGGAAAATTTGCTTAAATGCTTAGGTTAGGGAAACGTAGAGGGTTTGACTGCAGTCTTATGTTCTTATTCTTTTCATTCTCCTACATCAGCAAAATACAGAAAAAAGGAGAAGCATAGAATGCTTATCTAAATGCTTAAGTAAGGGAAAAGTACAAAGTTTGATTGCAGTCATCGTTTGACTGCCGAGTGATAAACAGGGGTGTTTTTTGCGTTGTACATTGGAAACGAAACTAACTCAGTTATTAATTTTTACTCATATGTGAGTCACTTTTACTCATTCGTATGGAAAATTTTCTTAAAGCGTAGGTTACTCAGCGCATGAGAGTGACTTACGCTTTTAAACATTTCTTCATACAAATGAGTAAAAGTGACTCACTCTCTGAGTAACATTTGTTTTCAGTGTACAACGCAACGAACACTCCTGTTTATACAGCAAAAAATAAATTTTAATATCACATCAATTTGGATCGTGTTGGAAATATAGTGTTATATTACTTGCCAAAAAGGAAACAAATTGTCATTAATACAGTGCATAAACTGACATTACGCTGATTTTACTGCATTTGTTTATTTGTGTGGCCATAAAAATTACATGAGATTTTCGACATGATTAAAGTGCATCCTCTTGGATTTAATATTAAAATTTATTTTTTGCTGTGTATCACTCGGCAGTCAAACTTTCTACGTTTCTCTTACATAAGCATTTAGATTAGCATTCTATGCCTCTCCTTTTTCTATATTTTGCTGGTGTAGGTGAATCAACAGTAAAAAGCAGACAAAAATGATATTGAGTATTGAGTGGTACCAGCTCGTCTCTCTATTCTCTCGATAATCATAGCGAGCGAGTTCGTGATTGGTTGATTACGGCTAAACACTTAGATCAATTTTCAATAATTAACCATTAATAACCAATTACGTCTTTACACCAAACAAGTTTTACATTCAACCTGAATAAAATGGTGTAATTAAAATTTCATTTCATTAATAAATAACCATGTTATAAGCGTTGAAAACTTGACACTACTTCATCATTCAAATTTTTGATTTGCTCTTCATTATAGTCCAAAAAGACGCCATGAATGTTGTGGGATAAAAAATTTCCCAAAAAATGCCCCAAATAACAAAATAAAAATCCTCCGAAGAACCGTTGGGTGTGACATGACAGGATTCCAGTCGGAGCACGTTCTGGTAGTTGTAAATTCTGTCAAAATCGGTTATCAGTATCTTGCTTGCCAAACGTATCAAAACGGTACAAGCTAATCGCGCACTATTACACAAGTTTTGCACTTTTGAAGACAGTTCAGTTTTATTTACAATAAACTAGAACTCTTACGTAATGATTTATTGATTGCCTTGAAAAAGGCCGTTTGTTTTCACTAAATTTTTATGGGTGACTGATAAATTGAACAATTCTTCCTAATTGCAATGTTCAAATTCTTCTGACATCGACGGATCACAGTTACTCCGGTGTGCTGGATGTTCGACGGAATGTTAGGCACGTGTTTGGTAAACGGACGTTGTCGGCGAATCTCACGACGGTAAGTGCAGTTTTTCCATTTCCCTGGACCAATTTGCGTCTGCTTCTGGTTGTTTTTCATTGGTGTGAGGTGTATGTATTGAGCTGCTAGGAATGCCACGATGTCCACACTGCAGCGAATAAGTCCGAGGTCGAACCGTTCACCGTGCAACGTTGAATGATTGTGCGGCTTCGAATTGTGTCGTTAGAGATCAACTTTCTCATGGCTATGTTAGTGGTAAGCACCTTGCGGTCGAAGAAAATGTTTGGGAAATTTGAATATTTCCATATATCTTAATGGTTAACTATTTAAATATTTAACATTTATAACGTGTGACATACCACACAAATCTTAGAACACTGGTGAATAGATCGATGCACAAATCATCAAAATCCATTGATTATTGGCCAAGTTATTAGCATTTAAAGTCTGACCAATTTTCGTTGCATTTCCCTGAATTGACACCCTTCCCGAAAGACGTAGTCCTACGTCAAAACCAAAAAACTCAAGCTTGCTGTTTTCTCCCCAGGATGGAACCATCTATTTTTGATTATGCTAGTTGTTTGTCTACAAAAATGATATGAACTATATTATTGTTTCAGTGAATTTGAGCGGTAGTGGAAATGGATTTAATGTCGGCCTAAATGCCCCTAATTTGAGCCCATACATAAATTTAGCAATCGGCTAAATTTTCAATAGCGACCAAAAATATCCATTAGTATCGTCCCAATGACGCGTTCATCTAGATAAAATTGATAAATAGCAGATTTTTAGCGATGGGCCCAATATTATTTAGATCCATAGGCCAACATTAGAGGCATTTCCCCTACATAATTTTTCCCATTTCCGTCCATTTTTCCCATTGTGTATTGTATGTAAGGTAGAGAATTTTAAGATTTCGAGCATCGAAACACCCTTAAAATCACGAATAAAACCTTATTTACGAAGATAATCACGATTCAAGATTTCGGAAAGCCAAACACCCCCTAAAATCATGACATTTTAAGGGATCATTTTAAGATTTCGAGCATCCAAAATCTTAAATCGTGATTATTAGGCCTTATTTACGGAGATAAACGCGATTAATGATTTCAAAAATCCATACACACGATTTGGGGAGAAAAATGCATTTTGATATCAAACATCGTAGCACCCGTAAAATCGAAATTAAGGCCTTATTTACCGAGATAAACGCGTTAAGGGGGGAAATACAAGTAAATTTTTTTTATCGATTTTTTAGTAAAATATATTTTTTTTTAAATGTTACGAGCACGATGAAGGAGTGATCTATGGCCCGGTATCGCCGATTAACCGTAAGTTCCAGAAATCATGTTTTTACACAAACCAAAACTTTTAACGCGTTTTTCTCGAAACGGTGTTTTCCAAATTGGCGGGAAAGATAACTCAAAAACTTCTCATCTAAATGACTTGAAACCTGGCGCATCTTAAAGGAAATAGATTTTCCTCTATGTGAACCACTGATATCATGTAAAAATTAACAATAAATAATTTTCAGGTCTGCCTAAAGTGGAAAAATCAGTGAAAAATCAATTTTTTTTCAGATATTCTTTTCTAAATTTTGGAATCGTTTTTTTTTTTTTTGGTTTTAGAGGTTAACATAGAACAAAAATCATTTCTGAATAAGGTCC